ACTGGTGTTACACGACTTGCTCAAGGCTTGTTTGCATTTGCATTCGCAGGTCCCGTTGAAGTAGTCGTGGATTTTTGTGTCGCAATCAGACTTGCGAGTTCTGCATGCGCATCCGCACTTAGTGTGATTGTAGACTGTGATGGTTTTGATTGAATGGCTGGAATTTGTTGTTACAATCACATTCAGCATAACCTCCTCCTGTTCCATGACTGTACAGCTCTGGATTTTGTGCATTCCTAAACATTCACCCACGCAACGATGAAGCAGCACTATTGAGGGTAAAAGTGTAACGCTATCATCTGGCCAGTCCAATTCAACCATAGTCGGATGCGGGTTGGTGGGGCACGCATGCTGTGTAGCCAGTGGTACGGTATTGTTCTTATCCCCTGATCATGTAAACAAAAAAGAGGTTAAATAATAATAATAACAATAACAATAACAACAACAACAATAACAATAACAATAATAATAATAATAATAATAATAATAATCCGGCCGTTCTCGCATATAAAACCACTCCAGTTTCCCCTTCCTCTGGAACATTTTATCTTAATTGTCAATCAACGCTGTATTCCGTTGCTGAAGTTTAGTTCTTAGCTTTTTCGGGTCACCTACTCGATCAGTTTCACAAACTATGTGGGCGTCCCAAACTCCACATGCGCCTGCAAGGAATCATGGTATTTGTATTCATCATCTTGGACTGGATATTTGTTTTGATGAATACAACTACCATGATTCCTTGCAGGCACGTCTCAAAGAGGCAACTTGTTATAAAACTAGTTTTTCTTCTTCTCCATCTTTTTCTTCAGGTCTTTTTCTTTCTTGTAGTGCTAACACTCCAACCAAGACCACACGATAAAATTTTTGTACAAATTTAACGAGAAAAACCCTTGGACANACTGGTGTTACACGACTTGCTCAAGGCTTGTTTGCATTTGCATTCGCAGGTCCCGTTGAAGTAGTCGTGGATTTTTGTGTCGCAATCAGACTTGCGAGTTCTGCATGCGCATCCGCACTTAGTGTGATTGTAGACTGTGATGGTTTTGATTGAATGGCTGGAATTTGTTGTTACAATCACATTCAGCATAACCTCCTCCTGTTCCATGACTGTACAGCTCTGGATTTTGTGCATTCCTAAACATTCACCCACGCAACGATGAAGCAGCACTATTGAGGGTAAAAGTGTAACGCTATCATCTGGCCAGTCCAATTCAACCATAGTCGGATGCGGGTTGGTGGGGCACGCATGCTGTGTAGCCAGTGGTACGGTATTGTTCTTATCCCCTGATCATGTAAACAAAAAAGAGGTTAAATAATAATAATAACAACAATAACAATAGCAATAGCAATAGCAATAGCAATAGCAATAGCAATAGCAACAACAACAACAACAATAACAATAACAATAACAATAATAATAATAATAATAATAATAATAATAATAATAATAATAATCCGGCCGTTCTCGCATATAAAACCTACTGTGAGTATTGCCACTCCAGTTTCCCCTTCCTCTGGAACATTTTATTTTAATTGTCAATCAACGCTGTATTCCGTTGCTGAAGTTTAGTTCTTAGCTTCTTCGGATCACCTACTCGATCAGTTTCACAAACTATGTGGGCGTCCCAAACTCCACATGCGCCTGCAAGGACTCATGGTATTTGTATTCATCATCTTGGACTGGATATTTGTTTTGATGAATGCAACTAACATGATTCCTTGCAGGCACGTCTCAAAGAGGCAACTTGTTATAAAATTAGTTTTTCTTCTTCTCCATCTTTTTCTTCAGGTCTTTTTCTTTCTTGTAGTGCTAACACTCCAACCAAGACCACACGATAAAATTTTTGTACAAATTTAACGAGAAAAACCCTTGGACATTAATAGTTTTTCAACAAATTATTGCACATTACAAAGGCAATTTATGGTCATGTTCATTCGTTGAACACTTTAATGCCATTGGTCAATTTGCCAGAATTTGCTTGGTTAGCCTAGGGGGAAGTACCCGCACTGTAACGATTTTATGTGAGTTGAATGGAATTGTCTTAGCATTGACCTAATTGATCAGTAGCATAGCCAATCCCAGGTTACGCTTAGCAGAGAGGCAGTATGAGACGGTTGAAAGTCTTGTTCATGAACACACGAGGGAAAAGCCGACAAAAAGACGATAGAATTTTCGTAATAGCCAACTGGACCCATAATCAGGGATGGACACTGCAAGGGAGAACCGTTCATGGAGGAGTGGAACAAATTGCATTGTCCTCATAATTTGCATTCTTGTGGAAATAGGTTCACAGTACTTATAACTTCTGTATTGTTTTCCCTGTGTTGGAATGATTGATTAAAATACTTCTAAGTAAGTAAAAACCATTGCTTAATGCGCTTATCTCCAGATCGAGGGGTTAGAGCCCTGGCCGGAGACACTGTGTTGTGTTCTTGGACACTTTACTCCCACAGTGCCTCTCTCCACCCAGATGGACAAATAGGTACCGGCGAACTTAAGGACATTCGCGCGAAATTTTCCAACATTGATTTTTTTCTGAGACTTTTGCCACTGTAAGACGACGAGTTAGTTATGTCAGAAATGTAAAACATGGGGGGTCACCGACTTCGTTTTGGAGAGAACATGCCCGGAAGAACACCCTAAATCTGGAAAAAAAATCGGGCTTCGTTAGCGAATAAGGCCAGTGTCTGTAAACCCAAAGATATTGCAATTAGATCTTTGAAGTGAAATGTTCTCTGCCCGTTATTGTTTAAGTGGACCTATTAAGTGAATTTAGTCAATTGGTGAGGTTGCTTAAAGAACAAGTTCGCATTTACCGACCATAGTTTCACGCGCCTTGCAGCCGCAAGATGGCAGGATTCGATGTCCCCTGGACAGAAATCTTGAAATTTTTTCAACTTCCCGCATTGATTTTTAGTTCATTTTTGGACAATGTGGAGATAATTGTAAATAAAATCTGTTTCCGGAAAGAAAAGTAGGGGTCACTGAACGACAAAGATTGTTAAATCCAGGCAAAGCTATAGCAATGGCCATCTGCGCTATCATTGTTCATTTTATTAC